TCACTTGACTCTGATGATGACTTCCGCACAGGTTGTCGAAACGTCAGTCACTGCCACCGACAACAGTCCTTCTCAGGACTACACTCACCCGGACGATCAGACTACACCTTCACATGTTACCCCCGGGTTCAAACCATTTACTGCAAAACTTAATTTTGTGTAGTTAAACGGAATATATCCTTTCAGAAAGAACAGATAACAATTATTCTACTTACAAGGTAAAATCACCATCGAAATACAAAATATATCAACTACTTACAATATTTTTTTAACTGAATGGTTTATACTACTATGTTATTACCATTCATATTCCCAACACCAGCGCAAGGAAGCTCTTACAACGCTTCTTGATAAAATATGGAGCTATTTTTATCGTTTAACAGACGCAGTTCACCGTCAGAAACTGTCTACTTTATTGTTGATGATTAGCTGCATGAAATTTAATCGATACAACGATAAAATGTATTCATCAGTATTTGCTTTACAAGTAATATAACTGAGATCTTCTGGCAATGGGTGAAACATCTCAAACGAATAAAAGTACATACAATTAGTATTGTTTATTGAATGTATCATAATGGTATTTCCTTTTAGCAGTGACTGGAAGTGAAGATCAGCGCTGGTATTTGGCCACGGGACACATCAGATGAGTTGGTATCTTTAGAGGATTTCGCAAACGTAACAGTGATACCAGAACATGAAGTGCTTGACATTCCATCATTATGATAATGAGTGTCACTACCACTTGTAGTTAATTTAGATGTTGCTGTGTATGATACACCTGCACGAAGAGAAATCCCAGAAGAAAAACGAACTTCAAACGTCTTAACTGAGGATGTGGTGTAGTAGGATCCAGTCTTTTCTGCGATCAAGGAACTTCCACGATACAACCGGATGGTGACCTGGAAAGTGGCTGAACCTCTATTGACTCCCCACAGACGGAATCCCAACAATGTGACGTCACTACTTGTTTGGAAATCGATTGCGTCAACTCTGCCAGAGGAATGGCCCCATCCTGAACTTGGACTTTTGGATCTGCTGCGCCAGCACTCAGGATCTACCCAGAAAAAAATTATATACCCTCAGAAGAATATAGTAAAAATGATTTTATAGAATGTAAGCGGTTTTTTTTTTACTTCTAGCTTAGAATCTACCCAGCAGTTCAGATCCTTATGGCCTCCATCTAAAGATAATTGGTACATCATTATTTTTACGAAAGGAGATATTCATTCTAAATCAATCAAGTCGATCTATTACATCCATCGGTCATACATACTATACAAAGGCATTAATAATGGAACTTGATTGAATGGAGTGCAATTTGTATACTTAAGGTAATCACATGTTTCGAGTGCAATTTGGGATAAATCAGTGAGGTGAATTTCTCAAAGGCTAACCAAATAACACGAGTCCCTACGGCGAATGCAATTTGTAGTCATTCAAAAATCAACGAGTGCTGATTTATCCCAACTTTTACGAAATAAATTACGGGACTACTTGTTAACAATATACAAGCAAAAGTGTGTCGTTGTAACGGTTTTTGGGAAGCCCAAGGCTTCCAGAATTTTAACTAGTTGTTTGTGCTTAATAAGGTGTTTTTTTCTTTGCACTCTTCCTCAATTATGAATTAAAACTCTGTTTATTTGTCTTTAGCCATCCACCATTTTTGTTGTTGTGCTTTCGAGACTTTCCTGTCAATCCAGTGAATTTCAACTTTATACGCTCAATTTAAATTTTTGCGCTCAATTTCAACGTTCGCACTGTTTGGAATTAATGAACGCGTTCTCAGTCAAGGAGCATGCTGAAAATACAAAATTAAACCTTGCTTCCGTACTTTGGTTATATCAACTGAGTTGAAATTGTAAGTTGGCGTAAAGAGTTAAAAGGCTGACGTTTCGAGCGTTAGCCCTTCGTCAGAGTGAATGGAGGAATTGTGGATTGCCTGTGGATTTATATGCAGAAAGTCGAGCTACGTTATTGGTGAGAACATGGTGACGAGAAAAACACGAAAAATTAGTAAAATGAGGAGCGTTCGTTGATACTATGGGGTTAAGAGTGCCGATTTGAAAGATCAACTTTTGTTGAAAAGTTTTGCGGCTTTCCGAGCTGCCTAAATGTATGGAAAGACCGCAGATTGCCATATGTTGCTTAGAATGATAAGGTAGATTAAAGTGTCTGGCGACTGGTTTTGATGTGTCCTTGTCATTCCTTTCTACATCGCGAAGATGTTCTCGGAATCGGTCACATAGTCGTCTTCCTGTTTCGCCGATGTATAACTTTTTGCAATAGATGACGTTGGCGGAGGTGCACGTGAAGTGATCAGTGATCTTAATGGATTGTTTCAGTCCCGAAATTTTCTCAGCGCTGTGAATGAAAGGACAAGTTTTGCACCGTGCGCGAGCATAGTTAAAAGTGCCGGGTTGGTTATTAGTTTGGAAGGAACTTCTGACCAAAAGATTGCATATGTTTTTGTCGCATTTAAATGAAATGAGTGGAGGTTGCGAAAAGACAGTACCAGTCTCTGGATCGTTTTGAAGGAATTTAAAACTTTTAAGAATCAGAATGGATTTAACTGAGTGGTTGTGAGGATGAAATGTGACAGTGAATGGAATGCGGTCGGAATTTTCCTTCTGTGACGTTTGTAGTGCTGACTGTCGATCAATAAAGTTGGGCGCAGCGGTGACCCGCTTGAACGACAGAAACAAGGTAACCGCGCTTTTCGAAAAACTGACACATTGACACTAATTTGGGGAAAAAATCAGAGTCATCACCACATAAATGACGAAGTCTTAGAAACAGGGAATGGAATTCTTTAGAAACTTACCCAATTTATTCACTTGTTTCTGTACTGCCACGTTCATGGAGGCTTTCCTTGTACCCAAACTGTTTATGGCTACACATTCATACGATCCACTGTCACCAGGGGAAATATTTTTGATCGTCAGGCTTGCATTGTTTGAAACAGTCTTTTCAGCAGGTGGAGATGTTCCTAATCTGCGCCAGGTTATCGCAGGAGGTGGAAACCCTTCAGCTTGACAGGCCTGTTGGAAGGTACAAAACTGCTTTGGTGTGGCGAGGGATGGAGGTACCACAGTGAAAATAGGGAGACCTGTATCAAGCCAGGAAAGCATGGGTGAAGTTTGAATGCAACATAACTTGAGACACGTTCATTGATTAATTTCTAGGAGAGGGCAAGACACTTTACTCTCACAGTGCCTCGCTTCAGCCAGGTGTTTAAATGGGTACCGGCAATTAATGCTGGGGGTAACCCTGCGATGGACTAGCATCCCATCCAGGGGGGGGGGGGGAGTAGAAATACTCCTAGTCGCTTCATGGTATGGAAACCGGAGTTAAGCACCGGACACTGATGGGCCACAGGCTCGTAAACAGACTTCGCCTTTTTACTTTACAAAACTCAGGGTGTTTAAGGGAAAATAATCGTTCTCGTTTGTCATCCAGCCTTATTGGTGATTGGCAAGTACACTATGCCAGATTGGCAATTTTTACAGGCCAGTGTTCTTTACCTCGACGATATCTCAGTTTTCTAGTTTAGATATCTTTAAGGCAGTATTTATAAAACAGCTACGGCTAAAAACAGCTTTGATTGATATTCGTGACTTAATAAATGACAACGTGAGAAAAAATTCTTTCGTAAAATGAAATTCGAACCGTCCTCCAGAACAATTTTTACGAATTGTGTCCTCACCTCGAACGGTTAAATTTCCAGAACTTTCGTGTGATCCAAGAACACTGGTCGCAACGCAAGAGTAAAGTCCAGCATCACTGTAGTTCAAACGTTTAATTGTCAATTTGCCATCTTGAATCAAGTGTTTTAATCCAGATACAAGCTTCCTGCTCCTGAATCTCCATTCGACCTTGGGACGTGGGTTCCCAGAAACCGTGCAGTAAAACATTGCGTTGCTTCCTTCATCTTGAGTTTGTTCATTAGGTGATATCATGACTTGTGGGGCGGATATTGACTCTCCGGGTCTACCGGGTGGTCCTGGAATGCCTGTCGGGCCTTTCTCGCCCCGGTCCCCTTTCACTCCTTTTGGTCCATTAGGTCCAGTCATCCCCGGTTTTCCATGCCTACCTGGTGGACCCATATCACCTTGAAGTCCTCTCTTTCCTTTTGGTCCCCTCCTGCCACGTGTCCCTTTCACACCTCGGACGCCAGGGCGTCCGGGGGGGCCTGCTGGGCAGACTTTCTCGGTTGACTTGCAATACTTAGTGGGAATGAGTTGTTCAAAGTGCTTGGTGATTTCATTGCGTACTTCATCAATTGATATGACATTTGAAACTTGCCTGCGATCTCTCGTGGCCTTGGTAATCGGGTCCTGCTCGCTTTCACCTAAAGCGGAAATAAATATATCTCATTAGAGGTTTTTTTGTGTATTATCCTGGGTATTTCAACGAGTTGTGCCGTATTTTGACAAGCCAGTAGGGTGAGTCAAATACAAATAACGAGTGAAAATACTTATCGATACTACATGAAAAAACGTACAATAACTAATTTTTTATCCTGGTGTCATACCGATGTGTGTACCCCCGTGATATGTGTATCCCTGCACACATATCACTAGTGATATGTGTACCCCCTCCAACATGGCGGCAAGTGATATGTGTATCCCCCACCCCCCTCCCCTCCAAAAACTAAATAATTACTTTTTTTTTTTTTCAAATATAGACTAGTGAGCAGCACTTCTGCAAACAGTAGTTGTAAAACCGTTTTTCTCTTCCGACGCGTTTCGTCTAACTGTCGTAGACTTCTTCATGGAGTTTTGCAAGTACAAAATAAACGCCTGTATTTATAAGCCAAAGTTATGGGGACCGCTGAACGTAGAGGCTTGGCTGGACTTACGAACAGGAACAGGTGAACAGGAACAGACGAAGCCTCTACGGTTATCGGCCCCGTAACTTTGGCTTATAAATACAGGCGTTTAGTTATACTTGTAAACTCCCTGAAGAAGTCTGCGATAGTTAGACGAAACGCGTCGGAAAATAAAAGCAGTTTTACAACTACTGTTCGCAGAAGTGCTGCTCACTTGTCTATGTTTAAAAAATATTTAAAAATTATTTAAAAAAATGTCCATAAATGCTTATTTCCAGCGGGTACTCCCCCTTCTAGGAGCTTGTTGATATTTTTTTGCATTGACTGATAGGTTACACTTTTGTAACACATGCAGTTTTAGAGTTTGCCCTTGATTTACAGGTGGCTTGTTATGTTCACAAATTAATAAGCATTATTGTGCTTTAGAACAATGTTGTTTTTTGTAGTATCATAGCTGTTTTGCAAGAATGTGTGACATTTATAACGTAGAAAAAAAGTTTGCTCCAAAATTATTATTTTGTATATAGTACATATACATTTGAGGAACACTGAAACATTGCAAGCAGATATTGCTTATGATGGAGTGGAAATCACCTTTAATAGTAGATTAATACTATCAGTTAACAATCATTTTTGATTTATTTTACTTATGTTGATTTATCAATAAAAATATCTGATCTTTCGCATGTAGTTCAAATTGGTTGGCCTGTTGTTTTTGTGAGCACATATTAGACACAACATACACTCCTCGGAATTAGAAAAACATCCAGGTTGTCCAGACTGGTAAATACTGAACAACCCAGACTTCGGTTATTCTGATAAGGACTTGGTTGTCCAGGGCCGTATAGATTTCAAAACAAAACACAACAACAACAACAACAATAAATAGAAGCCCCTTTTAAAGATGAATTCAAAAGGGTTTGATGTATACTGACTGATTGATGTAAACTACGGAACGTGAACACGAAATAGTTTCCACACGCGGTAGAGTTCTATACCTTTAATTTACCAAAGAAACTTATTGCGTAAACACACTTTTAAGTCGTCGGATCGGTTGAAACTTTAAAGTATAAACCCGCAAAATCTGTCCCTCGTAACCGCCATGTTTTCCTTGAAGGCTTTGGAGGCCCGGGTACAAAGCTTCAGTGTTTTGTGTATCCCTACCGGGGGTACACATATCACTAGTGATATGTGTGCGGGGATACACATATCACGGGGGTACACATATCACTGTGACACCGGCAACACGCCAAATTGTTATTTCAGTACGGGAGAATTTCGCGCATATCAATTTACGGGGAGTGCATGACAGAAGTATGCGAAGCGAAATGGAATTGACGCGTTGTCGTGTTGCTGTTTCTATTTTCTTCAATAAATGAGAAAAAATTTCCTACTCGTCTAGCTGTTTTTCTTCGTTCGATCAATCTATTAAACCTGGATCTATATTTGCCGGCCATTCCGACTCTTCGTCGTCAGAAATATGATTCAAATCGTCCACTATTTTTTTCGTAACTTCAGTCCCATTTTTCGCGCGATGCGAGAAAACCTATTTAACTGGTTCTCTAGAGTACAAATACCGCATGATATTTGTACTCGTCTATGGCGTTATTTGTACTCTACGAGGTGTAGTTGGATAATAAAAGTTGTTATTTTAACAGACATTTGATTAAGCGCGCTTATTATTTCAAAACCAAATGAGTCCACTTTAGTTACTACACTACAACCGTATGATAACACATATGACTGACTGGAATTCACTGCAGGATGGAGGAAAAATTCAACATTACAGTAAGAATGAACTAAAGACTAGAAAACACTAAAATAGCTTCAACTTGTATTCTTTAATTTGATGACCTCGACATAATGCAGACGAAAGCCTCCTTCTGAAATCTGTTAATATGTCCTGTGGATGCAAAGGTGCTGAAACTTTTCGTGCTGACAAGAAAACGAGACGAAGCTAATTTTCATGCTGTGCTAATCAGCATTTTGCAAAAGCAAACTAATAATAGATTACTCCATCTTGCGCTCAAGTTACGCGACAACTTATTTGATAACGACAGTTCAGGAATCTATTGCCAAACTGCGCTACTCACCTTCCCTATACTAAAATCGAAGTTTCGAAAATTAACAATATGTTTAGTTTTGAGCGTCAAAAAGGCTCAAAATAATATCATAGAGTTGTCTTAGTTTTGTCTCTTAGAAAATCCCGACATCTCTAATTGACCTTATCCTTCATGATCAGTACTAGTACGTGCGAAGATATTTAAAAAAGATAGTGTCATCAACGAACGGATTCAATCTAAACAGTTGCTACTTTTATTTTACCTGAGGGATAATCATGCTCCTTTGAAGTTGCAACAGGAATCTTGACCTTCCTCGCAAAAATCTTATCAAACTCCAATAGCGGCCTGACGGATATTTCGTCGTGATTTGTATCGGAGCCAGTCTTAGTACAGCACTGCTTTGTTGACAAAACCTTCATCTGTTTTTCCAACGCTAACAAACGATGGTTTGTAGATTCGTTCTTCAACAGTAGGATTATACAAACAAAGACTAGACTGAGAGACAGACAAGAAGGTTTCAAAGAAGGAAAAAGATCACGAGCGCGATGCGCTTTGGAAGACTTGAAGTTCGACTCCATTTTCTTTCCTCTCCTGTCTCCGTTGCGTTTTAAAACAGGAAGACGAAAGTCAATGGAAATCTGCCAAAATAATTTGATCC